CCCCAAAACCCCAAAACCCCAAAACCCCAACGCCAAGTATATATTTAAGATTATCAAAAGCAATAATAGCTAAAATTAAAATTTAATACTTAAAAGGTTCAGAATGTTTAATATTTTATATGCTTTTCATTTACAAGAGTTTAAATTGAGAAAACAAAGCGTTAAATTTAAGCTAGAATTTGTATCAATCACAATCTTTTGAGAAATAATGTTGCTCCAAAAGCAAGTATATTCATTCCCATTACTATAATCAAAGGCATTTATTTATTCTCTAGTTCAGCGATCATTGGAATGAATAGGGCAAATAACCTTGAAAATATACCACATATTCCAAAAGTAGTCGCAAGGATCCTTGAATCAAATATTTACACATGAGCCACAAATATGGCAGAATAACTCATACAAACAAATGACTTGAGAATAAAGAACATGAAGGAATATACATATACGTTGATAAGTGCAGGATTAATAAAAACTATGATTACTAGTACACTTGAGGTGATGCCATAGGACAACTTCAAGCATTTTATGACATCAAATCTTTGGATAATAACATCTGAGAATAGATAACCAAAGCAAGACATGCCCATTGCCACTCCAATCATGTATATATTGACCGGTAAGTACTTTATGTAGAAGTTAAACAAGTAGAATGTTGTGCATGATGCTAATCGGCACACATTAATCATCCCAATATTAGTTATAGTATTCTCAGTTGACAATAGTAGTTTTAAAAGGCTTTGCTGTTTCTAATGATTTTAATTTGCCTTAAATTTTTCATTCTAAATTTTAAATTATTAACCGCGAAATATCTCAATAAATTTTAAAGTTCTATTAACCCCACTCATTTATTATTCTCTTATATCATAAGTATTGCCACCTGTATTTATCTAGAAAATACGAGTTATATCTCTAATTGACTGGTCAAATTTCCCGTTTGTTAGAGTAAACTTTAGTGATTCAGGGAAATATTGGGAGCTGATAAGAATCATCGTAATCAGAGTAAAAATCAATGCCAGATAAAGAAAAACTTAGGTATTTCTGGTAAGAAAGTACAATATTAAAGGAGATATTATAAAAATCATGGAGTCCACGCAAAATAATAACCCAGTAATGAATGAGCCGTGATTCCCTGAATATTCCATCAAGTGTGAATAGCTTATACTATTTTTGTTCGAGTAAGCGACTCCTAACATAAAAATTGAAAAGAGATACACAATTATATTTCTTGTTAGGATCATCATAATAAATGATAGAGCTTAGACATAAACTCCAGCAACTGTGAAAATTCTTCTTCCAAATTTATCTGCCATTGGTGGAAATACAAAGCTTCCAGCAAGTTAACCAAGAAACTCAACTGATCCGAACAATCCAAGCATATATGAGTCAGCGCATTATAGTTTTAGCCTGTCTATCCAGTTGGTTAGTGACGTAGCAGTATCAAAGTTAATCTTCCATTAAAAATCAGGGTTCTAATTATGACAGATTTATTCTCTTGAACAGCTGCTGAACTCACTTTAAAGACCCTCTCGACACACATAAGCTGGATGTAATAACAAGAATCCATAGTTATATGTTACAATTGACGCTGTAACATAATGCAAAAATATCATCACAGAAAATGAGTATTGAAATCTTCCATATGGTAAAGTGTCAATAATATCTGAAATTTTGATAATTTACGCACTAAAACTGAAGCTACCACTATTGTCGTCACTACCTTATTCTGATATTTTATCTTAATTTTTACCAGAAATATTTTATTCCACTTGGTTGATTTCTTTTGTTTAATAATTGACTAGCTAAATCTGCAAGCTATCATAATCATTTTTGTCTGAAATTGAATTCAGAGAATTACTACTAGAGTTAAGGCTCTCGTGATTCATCAAAAAATCTTATCTTTAATTGGGAATTTACGTTGTTAATTATTAATAAATAACTTGAGTTAATCACTTATCCTTTGTTTTAGTAATTATTAATACTGAAATAACTTGTACAATATGTTTTAATATTAATGAATTCTTTTTAAATAATTTATTTCAATTCAAATGTTCATTC